GACCGTAGATAAAACATGTAATTAAGTATCATTTTGTTACAAATTATTGTTTTATAAATATATGTCAAACATAACATTTATAAGGTCACAAGACAGTGTCAAATGTAGGTCAATGTGATCTAATCAATTGCATATAACACTACTGTTTAGGTTTAATCCACTGACCAAATATATTTACTCCAAGACTTGTATTTTTTTTAAGTTATCTACATTGTACCTGTACCAAAATGCATTACATGTAAGAGGTTTATACAAAATGACAGGTATACTTTGCAACAATTTATTATAAATCACAACTTTTATTGTAAAAAAATACCACATTTAAAACTTTTAATCATGCCTTTGAATAAAAATTGGTTCCTTCATGTCTATATCAGAATAAATGTTGCATGTGTCACAATACAAATTTCTCAGCCCTCACTAATTATACAAGAACCCCCCTCCTCTGATTAAATAACACAACTAGTACATATTATACTACATTGAAACAATTACGAATAGTAACCAGGAAGACTTGTGTTACCTATCCTTACAACAAAGTTCCAGGTCAGGTAACCGTTTCATTCAAGTTTAAGTAATATGATCACAACAAAATTAATTAAGAGAAGGTTGTATAATATATTGAATGACCCCTCTCAGAGAATTTGTTACAATTGCTTTCATTTTATTTCTATATATCAAAATATTTTGAAATCAACATATTAAAAGGTAATCTATCTTGACAATGTAACAAAGAAAGTCAAATTGATATATTAGTACATGTATTTATATATTTTAAGCAATGTCAAGTGATAAAATCTGAACAAAAAGAACATAGAATAAGATAAAGGGATTGTATACACATGTTTCAATATTTTCACTGCCTATACTGAATATTTTAAATCTTGATAAATGTGTATTTCAGACTAAAGTTTTCATACTTAATCCTTTATTTTGATTTCCTTTCATTTATGAATTTTTCATCTTAAAAAGTTTTAACATATATAGATCATGTAGATATAAGAAGATAGCCTTTTAAAAGTAAAAGTAGAAGAGTAAATTTCCCAGGTGTTTTTAATCCACATGACTTAGTTACATTTGTAGGTCCATATTAAAATTTGAGCAATTAGGAGTTAATTTTCCAAATAAGCAATCCAGGCTCCTCAAACAAAGACCTTAAATCACCAAAAATTGAATTGTTCAATGCTTCTGGTAGAAGCTTATGCTGTTTAGGCACAATTCCTTTTTTACAAACGCAAGATAATTAAATTGTGTGTAATTTTGATAGTACTATATAATGCAAATATTGAAATTCTTTCAAAGTCAGTGCACAATGATTAAGAGGACAGGACAAAATAATATGAATGGAAATGAGATCTGCTAATGCTACAACAAAACAACCAATGCAATGACTAATCAATTACTTATACAAGTTCAATATTACAAGTGGTTCCCCTTAAACATGTTAAACTAACGATCACAAACTTCAATAATTGTTGACACCCCCTGATATCAGAAACAGAGTACGTGGTTAAGTCTCACCTCTGTGATTTCTTTTCAATAGGCAAGACAAAATCATAGGACCTTCAACTAACAGAAAAACCTTCAAAAGAACATTGTTGGAATAACATTTTAAGCATCCATGACATTTCAAATGCAAATTTGTAAGACTTGTATGAATGTATTGGCCTTTCGTTGCATTAATTTAATTTGTTCAATATGATAGGTAATCATTAAATAATTTAATATGTCGTAATAGCCTAATAAATGGAATTTTATTGATGCATTTCTTAATACAACAGAATATAATTTAAAGTTTTAATAGTCTGAGTTCAAACTCATTTAGAATATTTACCAAAGTTTTAAATTCTGATAAAGACCTTTAATTCAAATCTATTCAAGACAGATATATATCTCTATGTATTTAAGTACTTTCTCTCTTTGGTTATAAATTTTGGTGTGATGAGTCAAGAACTGTATATTATTTAACAAAATAAATAAATTGAAATAAAAGTAGCTGCATGTACATGTACTGCATGCAGTGCACACAGTGTTATTTAAAGAAAAAAATTATTCTTAGAAAGTTGGTGATTCATCCATCCGTCTATAATATTTGTAGGACTGGGAAGATGTGAAGGAATTAAGACAAAACCTTTATCATTAGAAGTAGGCACAAAATCCTAAAATCAATGGCAATGATATCGATGGAAAGCACATCCGCAAAATCATTTTGTTTTCTGAATTATTCCCCAAAACAAATAATCATTAGGGAGGATAACAAACTACAGTTTAAATACTACTTTTAGGATAAAGAGCCATATAGAATGATTTGAATTTGATCTTCTAGACAGAGAAGTAACACACAAAAACAGGTCTCCTCATTTAGTATTAAAGATCATATACATGTATGACAGTACCCTAACTCAGAGGTTATGGTGAGGTGTGTTACAAATTTTGCTGTAACTGCATGCATATTCCAGTTACCTGTTACAATGCAAGTCTAACAGGTGAAAAACAATTAAATACAAAAAAATATGTTTTGACAATTATAAACTATGAACTTTGGTGGATAGTTATCTCATTCAGGCAATCATACCTCATCTACTGTAGAAACATTAATTTTCATGGGGTTAAAATTTCGTGGTTTTGTCTCTATATAAAATTTCATGGGGATTTAATTTTTCATGATTTCCATTAACTGGAAGTGATATTATATGTAGGTTAAATTTTCGTGGGGGTTTTAATTTCGTGGATATATTCTTTCCACAAAATAAACGAAATTAAATCCTCCACCAAAGTTTCTGCTTTTACAGTATCTCCTTATTTATCATGTTTATATATAATCTTAAAATGATTCATCTTAATCTTTCAAAAAATAATAGAATTTTTTTCAGTTCTTTAAAATGGGTTTAAAACATGAATGCATTAGAATAGTGACATCCTTTTTTGTTTAAGGTAATGATTCTGGGGAGAAAATTCCATATTTATATTAATTCTTTTTTCAAGGTTTTACAAGGGTCTGGATGGGGTTTACAGAATATAGAAAAATGGGCAAAAAGCTGCCACAAAATGTAGAGAAACAGACAAAGTAAATAAAGAGTAGAGAAAAAATGGGCCAAATTAATAAAGAATAGAGATTAATTGGGTTCTCAAATATAAAGAATAGAGAAAAATGGCGGAAAGATCCAAGCAAGACTTGATTATTCAGATGGTATTTTAATAATGGCTTACAAATACTAAATTTGTATCGCTGTACAGTAGCGACGTAATCTGATAACGTGAATGTCACAAAGGTTTGTGTTGTAGTGGTATTTTCCTGGAATAACGGAAGATATTGCAAATGGCCCGAAAAATTAAAAAATACATAAACTATGTACACCCCATCCAGACCCTCTTTTACACATAATCAAAATTATACCATAAAAGTTTGACTCACAAAAGACATAGCAGTAAAATGGTTGCAATGAAAAACTAGATTTCCCAGTGAAATAAAAACCAATAATTTCACATGTTAAGTAAATCTGATAATTTCACTCCTCATGTGTTATACAACTATAGGTGTTGTCAAAAAATTGTCAATGATGTTGCATCAGAACAAAAAGCGGAATGCGTAGAAAAAGATACAGTTTCTTGTGTTCTCTCCATTAAAAAGCCCATGGCCAATGTAATAAAAAGAATAACTAACCCAAGAATTAAAATATCGACAGACACTGATACATGTAATAAAGTTAAAACGCATGCAATATGTCATGTATGTGCATTCATGAATTAATGTGTTATTCTGTCACTCGGTGAATATTCTTCTTTATATTAATTCTTCACTTATATTAATTTTTTTTAAAAGTATATTAAATAACACTTAAAACAAAAATCTGCCGTAACATCTCACTTATTAATTAAAATTATTGTTCAGCCCTGAATGCCATTAAGCCAATGATGTAGCTATAGGGTATTCAAAAGTTACAGTGTGTTTTGAAATTATAGTGAATTTTTAGTATTTTTTAATGTCATAAATGATAATTTGTAAATTAAGCCCCTAAGTAGTTTTAATTTTTGCAGAAATCAGCATGATCAGTATGTATACTGTATTTAAATAATTATTTAAACAGACTCTGTCCTCCTTCACATCATCATTTTATTGAATTTCGTATTTATGTTTGAACAGTACAGTTTTGAAGAGACAGAGTACAAATACTGTTCATGATTGAATCTAATAAGGACAACATCAATTTGTACCTCTCCAAATTTAATTATAGACGATTTAAAAGATAAAATCAATAAAAAAAAACACCAAAAACACAGAATTAGATGGAATAAAAGAATAGCACAAAATATGTATGTATAGTAAGTCTTAGACAATCAGCCTCAGTGATCCAGTATGAAAGTTTATAACTGGAGTTATTGATTGAAATGAGGCAGTTGCTGTATAAAGATTCTATTAGCTGCGTCTAGAAGTGATGCTTTTATTAGAATATTAAAAACATTATTAGATTAATTCATTAATATATATATATTTACTTATTACCAATAAATATGAAACCATGTATATTTCGTTTAAATCCTTAGCCATAACAGTGCCTTTATATCTATGTAAAGTGTGCCCTTAAAGTGTAGCCAATTGTGCTAAGTGTGAGAAAAAAATTACCCTTGCTCTTTAAAAAAGCTGCAGGACACACTATAAACTATTTATGTCATACAACAATCACTTTTCTTTTGCGGCCTTAGACATTTCCTATTGTGACAACACAATTTTACAGAAACCTATCTGAAGTTCCTGTAAAATTTTGACGTCACAAGAAATTTCTGATGCCACAAAGGAAAAGTGATTGTTGTTCGATGTTAATAGTTCAAGTATCGCAAATTCTTGGGTCAAGTGGTGCAGATCCCCAAATAATGTAGCAATATTTAAAGGTCTATCAGAGTGAAATCACTACAAAACATTTAGCTCTTTTGATGGAACTACTTGTGATCACATAACTGACATGTTATTGTTTCAACCATAATAAAACATAGTTTGATACCTGTTTGATCTAAAGCCCTGACCCCTTCAATTTCTAAGGCATCTGGACTCGGATCACTGTCTTTCGCATCTCCTTTTGACGCAGATTTCCGTTGTTTCTTTTTCTTGTTTTTACTGTTAAGTTTTGCCATATTTTTGTCAACTACTACTGACAGCCTTTTCTGATTTTTCTTTAAAAGTGTCTTTGCTTCCATAATGTGACGAAAGCCTAATATAACGTGAATATGTTGACTTTTTCATCTTTTATCTGCCGATATCATCCATTGCTGTTGACAGGACCGAAGAACAAAGAATATAAACTATGAGTCCGCGAAAATTCCAACAAATAGTTCATGATAACTTACCACTGTTTTCAAAGTCTTGATCTTTTCTAAATCAAATCACAAAGTTTTGTATCAAATATGACTTTTTTTTTTACTATTGATTAATATTGAAATCATATTATATTTATTTTAAAAGTGGAAATAACGGAAACGTGTAAGGTAGTAATATATGTTGTTAGGTACTATTTTATATAACCTACTTCCGGTGTAAACAACCGGCTTGAAATGTGCGATGTCTTGTGCGCCAAATTCAAATAAAGAGATAGACTTTGATGACGAAGATGACGATTTACTTTTGAAATCTGTCAATGAATGTAAAATAAATACTGCTTTGGTAGATTAAGTAAAATTAGTCTCCAATTACTTCTTTTAGGAATTTATGTGGCAGCCACGCCCACTTCTAAATGCACTTTTAATTATTCTGACCATACATGTAGATATAATATGGCTATTATATCTATGGTCTGACTAAAGCCAACCTCACTTAAACCACTTGGGTTTGTAAAACGCAACTGGATGATGGGGTTTGCTTTAGTAATGATACAGTTTTGGATAAATTGAGACACTATCCTCGTCTCATGGGTTTTCGTGCTATTAAGAATGAATTGTGACATCACAATTTCCATTGAAAAAGCATGCATAGAACGAATTCATATGATGTACGAAAACATATGATCTGACCATAAATCGTTTTGGGGGTATATCTACATGTATGATATTAGTGCCCTGTGTTTGAGACCAGCAAACACTTCATCTATTTGTTATTAGGCACTGGCTACAACACAATTTAACTGTAGACACAAATATTATTGTTAGAGTTGTAATTAATCGATTCCTTGCCCAACCTGTAGCATTTGGACAATGTACATGTAGTCATTTTGTTATTTTTACTTTTTCAACATATTTGTTGCCAGTACCTTATTATAATATTAATGCAGTAAATACACTTTGAACTGTGATATGAAAAGTTTGAATTCAAAGTTCTAGACCGAATGAAATCCAATTTAATAATATATGTCAACTTGATTGTAAATTTGTATATCATGTATATGATATCACTTCATTGAATGTGAACAAATTAGCTGGTTATTCAAAATAAACTGAATCTTATTCTCAACAGTTCTACTGTAGCGGTATCTCATGTATTTAACTAATTCTTATATGAGACAGGTCTACAAATTTGCAGGAAATTGTATGCTCTAAGACATGATTTGTGGGAAATCATATGCTCCTATTAGAAGTTTAACAAAAAATCCAGAAAATATTAACCAGAAAGAATTTTTATAACTTCCATGTTGTTGAAGGTTTTTCAGGACCATACTACATGTATTCAAAGCCAATACCCTCTTACCATAGATGAATTCCATTTTCCCATTAAATGTAAAGGGTTAGAATTTAATAGAAATATACCATTTTGTAATTTAAGTGATATAGTTCCAACTTTTGTTATGTCAGAACAAGAAAGATTTAGTTTCATTTTGAAAAGTCATGATACTGACATTTGTACTGTATGTGTTATGCTGGAATAAGCCATATGTATGATACGAACGTTCATTCAAAGCAAATATAATGTTGTTAAGAATTGTTGTACATAGTATTAAAGATGATAACATAGTATGAATGACACTTCCACGCAATCTAGATATGATATATGTGTCTCTTATCATTAAGAAAATATGTCTCTGTATATTTGTCTTTGTTTATTTTTGTATTTTGTAAATGTCAGCTGGTATCATCTGATCATTCCTGTGTTGGAATTTACACCAATAAATTTACTTGATTTGATTTATATTCTAATGTTGGGCACATAATATTATAGATCAAGTACATATGAGGCAAGGGGCCTCGGTGGCCGAGTGGTCTAAGTAGTTCAACTACTGTAATCACTAGCCAGTCAACACTGAGGTTGTGAGTTCGAACCCCGCTCGTGCGGGTGCACTCGACTCCAATCTTAATTGACTAGGATTGTCAGTTTTCCTATCGAAGGTCAGTGGTTTTCTCCAGGCACTCCGGCTTCCTCCACCAATAAAAACTGGCCGCCACGAAATAGCCCAAAAGCGGTGCTTAAAAGTGGCGTTAAATCACCTAAAATCAAATCATATGAGGCAACTATCCATTTTTTTTTCTTCAGGTGAAGCAGACATTACAAAAAATTCAACAAAATCACAGTTGTCATTAGCTTCAGGAGATGGACAAATTGTTCCACTGCAAAAGTTTAGACATGGCTACCTGTGGGTATCAGATTTGTCCTCCCAGAGTTGGTGTGAACAACAGATGTTCTACAAGTTTACAGTTCCTGGGGTCATTGAGGAGAATCCTGCAATGACAAAAGGCACAGATTTACATCTAGCTAGAGGTATGTTTTTTTCGTATTGTAACTTGTTGGACTAAAGATATGCAGATAAATTTTTAACTCTGTCATATCTTAATCACATTTATAGCAGTGAAGGAAGAGCGTTTTCAAAAATTTAGAATATTCTTTTAACAATATTTTCATTGCCAAATTAAAATAAAATCAACATTGTCTGGGCTTTATTATATTGCACAAATGTCAATAATCATGTCTGAATACATGGCTGATTCAAGATTTTTATAAGAGACTTAGAGGTGTAGAAAATATGTCATTTTTATGTACATGTTAAAGTGAAATCATGTTTTCAATAATATTGATGATTTTTCATATGCTTTTGTTATAAATTTGACAGTTTGATACCACCATAATACTGGTATACAAATTGAATGAAAATCAGGTTAATTTTTTTTATCTTTTATTGATTTTTTTATCAATTTAAGGGATGTACAATTGAATACTAAGAATAAAAAATAACAAACTTATGTTTTTGATGATCGAATTTTCTTTGTTGTAATGAATTTTAACATGTTCAACAGGCAAATTCCATAAAAAAATAATGAAAAAATACAAACCCTTATTTTTATTTTTTATTTTTTAAGTTGTGTTCAAAACATATATGGTTGTGGTTGGTTCATGTCTGTCATATTTGTTTTTTCATAAATTGACTTGTTATAAATTTGGCCGTTATTTTTCTCAATTGAATTGTTTCATATTTTTCATGTCAGGGCCTTTAATAGCCGACTATACAGTATTGGTTTTTCCTATTGGTGAAGCCGTACGGTTGCCTATCATTTCTTACATCCATGCCACTTCATTTGAACTTTGATGGCAAGTTGTCTCATTGGCAATCATACCACATCTCCTTATTTTTATAATGATAGATATATTAATTGAAATATGATCAGTTACAATTCAATTATAAATACACCTTAATATTTTACTTTCTGTTTATCTATTATTTTTTTGTCTAATTTTGGACATCCAGGAAGGGACCATTTCATAACTTGATAATTTCAAATAGAATTTTAGAATATAAAATAAAGAATTTAGAATTTAGGTAATGTAATGTGATTTATTAAATTCAAAGAATTGTATGTTATCTCAGTAGCTGTAACTATTTAAAATGTTTAGGGGAGTTAATTTGATAAGTTGAGACTGAGTTATCTCCCTTACATATAATTATAAATTAACTTGCGCATTTTATTAACTTGAGTTCCTTTTGACTTAAAACAGTTCAATATATATTTAAATATGAAAAAAACAACATAATGAAAAAATATAAAATTTTAATGATTTACTTTAAAGCTGTTAGAGTTGTCTCCCATTTGTAATATTTTTTAGTATTGGTATAAATGCATGGTGTGCAAGGTGTAATGATAATAAAGATTTGAATTGAATTGAATTTAAAAAAAAAACTCTAATTCAAATTTTGTATTTAATAGATTTTTTTATTTCATAGAAAATCAAACAAGACTTCATTGCACATGTTGCATATGATTTTTATTTTTTTAATTCAATGTTTTAATCAAATCCAGGTATATTTGGTTGAGTAAAACTGATGCAAATTATATTTTATATATATGTAATTACTTTATCATTTGAGGAGTTTTGAAAGAAAGATTAAATCTTAATTTTTTTATGTTTCAAAATTTATTTCAGCTTTCCTTTAGTCCTTTTTGTAATTATGTGTTAAAGTAAATGTTGAGGTTTACATCATTGAGACATCAAATCATCCAGACAAAAACAATCATCTAGAGGTGAAGGCATAGAACTTTTATACTGATATCATTCATTTCTTCATAAATGAATATATATAATTCTTTAATTAAAAATTATCTATTTGATATTTCATTTGTTTAGATTTGGCAATATGTTCAAAGTTAAATAATAGTTCATAAATGAAAGAAATTATGTCAGTTTATGTTAGTAAGGACTTTTATAGCTTACTCTACAGTGTGAGTCTTTGTCCTCTGCTCTTGACACCATCTAGGGGTAAACTTGGGTGCTTCCTAAGGCTAAATAGTTCCTGTTCCACTAGTTGCACCTGTTGTGTTGCTCATAGGAAGAAAAATCATGTCATAAGTTGCAATTAGTTATTTCATAATCTAATTGGATTTGATATTTCCTGTATGTTTTACTATTTCATGCATATAGAATGAAGGCCATGCTAGTGGGCAGTGGCGATCCGGGGGGGGGGGGGGGGGGTCCATGGGTTGGAACCTCCCTTTTTTTTGGATGATCAATGCATTTGAATGGGGACATTGGTAGTCATAACATTTCTCTATTTCTTGACACATAGCATTTAGCATAACATAAAAGAATCATTTCAATGTATTGCACCTACGTTTTTTTTAAAAGGTAATTTCAAAATTTTTGTACTTCATAGGGGACCTATAAGACACTTAGAAAATCATCCATTTTAATTTCCTTAAGCAAAAACATTTTGGTAAACCAACTGTTTCACGATTGAAAACTGTAAAAATAATTATATGTATACTTTTAATAGAAAGATTTTATTAATTTTCCTATTGCGCAACATAAATATCTCTTTTGATCTCTGGAGTTGTTCATTATAAAACTGACATTCCCAGTTCAAATGTAACATCACACATGTGCAACCCTTGTTTTATTGAAATTAGAACATTGCTTTATTAAAAAAGCAAAAGAAGAGCCTCATATTAGAGTTCAAACAGTACTTTGAGTTTCTATAAGATGGACTAATTCAAATCTGCAATACAACAAATGTTGGTAGGTATCTTGTATCCATAGCAACTCTTTAACCACAGATTGGATTCTCGGATATGGGGAGTGGTAGGAGTGTGGATATAAAAATAAGAAGATATGATATGATTGCCCCCAATGAGACAACTCTCCACATGAGACCAAATGACACAGAAATTAACAACTATTGGTCACTGTCACTTCAACAATGAGCAAAGCCCATACCGCATAGTCAGCTGATTTTGTGAGTTGTAAAATTGAGAATGGAAATGGGGAATGTGTCAAAGAGACAACAACCCGACCATAGAACAGACAACAGCAGAAGGTCACCAACAGGTCTTCAATGCAGCGAGAAATTCCCGCAGTACATGTACTCAGATATTCTTGTAATTTCAGCTGGAGTTACCTCCCATTCATCATTATTGATCAGTCTCATGAATTTATTCAAGGATTCATATATAGTCAGAAGAGGTTCATTAAACAATAGCCAATATACCTCTCGACAATATATAAAATATATAAATATGAAAAGAAACACTAGGACACTTCCAAGCAAGAAAACTGGGTCAGTCCCAGTATCTGCTTAAAATTTATATGGTTGTTCCAAGTAATTCCATTTGATATTTGGAAAGTTATTTTTGAGGGTTCTTTTTCACCCTTTCTTAGGTATTATGAAAATGATTATGGTATCCTTTTACATTTGTATACTTTAACTTTTCTTTTTATATTTCAGAACTAGCAGCACATGACATAGTACAGGTACAAGTAACCTCTAATGAAGACATCTGGGCTATAAAAGTCCTCAATCTACTGACTGCCATCAATGCATTTCAGTTTGGTCAGACTATTGCCAGAGAAGTACCAATATTTGGTGTTCCATTCAAGGAGGAAGATATTTTTGTGGTTGGGTTGATTGATGAGTTAAGATTTGACCCTGAAAATTACACAATAGATTTATCAGAACTGAAAACACGAACCTCTAGGATGAATCCATCCAAAGCTGTTACAAAACAGCATAAAATTCAAGTGATGTTATATAAAAGATTATTTGATAATTTAGTTAAAGGTACTTTGTCAAAAAATTCTTTAGCTACACATTTGAGACTAGATTTAAATAAACAGTTTGGAGATCAAATTGTAAAGCATTTAGAAGAGAAAGCAATTATTAATAAAAATTTGAATGATTTAATGGATCACGTTTTTGGAAAAATGCAATCATTGACTTGTATCAACCAGTTACATGTGGAATATGTGTACCAAGACACATCAGAAACATTAAGTCATGTGACCCATCCATATGATGAAGGAGAAATCAAAACTCTATATTTAGATTATTTGAAATTCTGGAAAGGTGAAAGGTCACCAACTGGTGTTGATATCGAAGAAGCCTGGAAGTGTCAAAGATGTGATTTTGAACCAATTTGTGAATGGCGAAGGAAGAAATCAGAAGAATGTGCTCAGAGAAACATTCAAAACAACCATTTGTATTGAATTAAAGGAATCAAAATCATATTATCCAAATTAAAGAGGGTGGTAAAGGGTTATTTTCGTGCAACATGTTTTGCCATTTTTATTTCACGTGCAGCCATGAAAAAGGTTCGTTATTCACCGTGTTTAGTGAAATCGGTAAAAAGATCAACGTGCTAGAAATTTTTAATTGTTCGTTCATCGTAAAATGGCAATTTTATTTCGCGTTCTTCCGTGCAGATACCCCCCTTTACGCCCCTCATTAAATGGCTGACTTTGTAATTTTGAAATGAAGAGGTGACAAGAAAGGTGATCAAATTGTTTGTAACTGAAGCAAGATTAGAAAGATATTCATATTAACTTATTATTATCACCATTGTGTTGGACACTGACTGGTCTGCTTGCTTATCGGCAAAAGCAATAGCAACCAAAAGAAGTAAAATAAAACATTAAATCAGGGTAATTTTGGGGGAAAGTTTACTGTTTTCAGATTTTTTTGTCATTTATAGAAAATATGAAACAGTTAATTTTCCGCCCAAATTGTACCGATTGTAAGCTTGATTTTACTTCTTTAAGTTGCTCTTCCTTGACCTAGTTCCAGGATGAGATTATTTGATTGTAATTCATCTAGATGATTAAGAATATTTTGTTTTAACTCTATTCTCTTCATTTAGAAAATTTTCGTATGTTTTAAAAAATAAACCATGCTCAAATAATAGAATAATAAATTTCCACACAAAAAAAGAATTTATAGAACTAAATAAAAAGGATACAAATGGTATGATATATCATAGAAAAAACAAACTTTAAAGTGTCAAGAATGAACAAGCACTTCTGTTTAAAGACTCAGGACTTCTCCACATGCTCCATATCAGTTTCAAAAATAGAAGTCACTTCTCCCTTTTATAGCTGTACAGGTTTTTTTTTCATTGTTGAAGGCTGTGCGGTTTCTATAATTGCTTACATCTAGTTCACTTGAGGACTCCTGTGGAAAGTTATCTCATTGGCAATCATACCACGTCTCCTTACTTTTTATACCTAGTGCTAATACATGAAGCTAACAATTTTTATGCCCCCGCTGTAGCGAAGGGGGCATTAAGTTTTACCCTTGTCCGTCTGTACGTACGTCCGTCCGTACTTCCCAAAATTGGTTTCCGTTCTCTAACTTGAGTTTGCCTCAACCAAATGTTATGAAACTTATACACAATGCTTATTACCACAAAACACAGATCAAGTTTGAATTTTGGTGGCGTCACTTTTTTTAGTTTCCGTTCTCTAACTTAAGTTTGCCTCAACCAAATGTTATGAAAATTATACACAATGCTTATTACCACAAAACACAGATCAAGTTTGAATTTTGGTGGCGTCACTTTAACCGTTCTAGAGTTATGCCCCTTTATAAATGGAAAAATTGCAAAATTTTTATTTTCTTCTAAATATCAAGTTATTTTTAAAATTGGAGTTATCTTCCTTTGTCCATGATTATAGTTGAATCAACTACAATCAATGCTTTATACAATGCAATGTTTAATTTTGACTTCCACTGATAAAACACAGATCAAGTTGAACTTGGGTAGTGTCACTTTAACCATTATTGAGTTATGCCCCTTTATAAATCGAAAGATTGCAAAATTTTTAGTTTCCATTCTGTAACTTAAGTTTGCCCCAACCAAACATGAAACCTATACACAATATTCATTACCACTAAACGAAGATCAAGTACAATTTTTTTGTTTCCGTTTTCTAACTTTAGTTTGTCTCAACCAAATGTTATAAAACTTATACACAACTGTTCTAGAGTTATGGGTGTTAACAAATAGAAAAATTGCTGAATTTTTAGTTTCTGTTCTCTACTTAAGTTAGCCTCAACCAAATGTTATGAGACTTACACACAATGCTTATTACCACAAAACTCAGATCAAGTTCAAATTTGGGTAGCGTAACTTTTACCGTTCTTCAGTTATGTCCCTTTATAACTTGTCTATATGATATGCAAGCGGGTGCCTCATCTGTGTCCACATGTGGACACTATCCACATTTATTTAAAAAAATAAAACACAAAATATTTACATGATTCTGAGACTACCAGTACTATAACATGTGTTATAGTAGTTTCATCATGAATGTTGCAACACAGATGAAGTCGTACATACATTAATTTTGGTGTATAGAATTTCATTAGTGTTATATCTTTCTCAATTGTGTTCATCAGAAAAAAAACTCTTAATGAAAAGGTGTCATTGAATATTTACTCCTAATGGACAGCGTAAACTGCCATGACTGCATGAAATGTTTCACTGTTACACAAAGTCATAATAATTTTTTAAGAAAACCAAATTTTTTTCATTTAGTTTTTGAAAATACCATGGACGAAATATTCATATTTCCCTGATGAAAGACAAGAATCAATCAACTCCTGTAATGTCATGTTTATATCAATCTCACAGACACTATTCATTGTCAATGCCAGGGATAACCACACATTAATGTCCAAGAGTGATGCTTTAAAGAGAGTCTGGATGGGGTTTATAGAATAGAGAGTAATGAGCACAAAGAACAGAAAAAAGGCCAAAAAATATAAAGAAGAGAGAAAAATAGGCTAAATAAATAAAGAATAGAGAATAATAGGGTGCTAAATATAAAGAATAGAGAATAATGTGATGCTGAAAAAAAAGAATTTAGAAAAAAGGTTTAAATTTTTTTTAAATACAGAAATGATGGACCCCCATCCAGACCCTCTTAAAACAATTTCATTTTAAATGTAGAAAATAAACAGTTTTTAAAGACATCACTTTATAGCAAAATTTCTATGTTAGTTTATGACAAAAAATCAAAACTTAATCACTCAAAATTATACTACATTATTTTACAAAACTTCTCTCATATACATGTAATCTAAAGATTTAAAGTTGGTGCTGAGCAAATCAAAAGTGGCGCATGATGACCACCCTTAAATAGCGTGTTGAGATCATTGAATGCTCAAGATATATTTTTTTTAAACATACCTGTATTCGTCAAATATACATTATGTACATGTTAAACCAACTTCATTGTGAGATGGTCCAATGGTAACTATAGGGAATAGAAATGTAGTCGCGTAGGTCTTCTTCCTACCGACAGTAAAACCCTTGGTCTTGGGCGTCCGTTTAGCTGTGCAGGATGTACAAGTACGCAGCCACGTCCGGTCAGAATAGGGACGTTAAATCCGATGCCTCGTGTAGAGAGTGTCACGCTCTCTGCACGTTAAGAACCCTTGCAACTGCTCTTTGAGGGGTTCATAGCTATTGTATGTATTGCAAGTTCTCGTTCTGAACATGCATGAAATATTTGCCACTGGGCGTTAAGCAACCAGCAATCAATCATTGTGATATGATGCTTTACCTTGAGGTATTATTAAAGTACATATGATTCGAATAAATTTACGAAACAGATGACATCATTGATATGAAAAGTTCAACAGTTTATTGAACAGAGGACATTTCAAATAATATAAATCACAGAAAAAACAGGAATATTAATAATACAAATGTAAACATTAAAAAACTTCAGGGGCGGATCCAGCCATTTTAAAAAGGGGGGTTCCCAACCCAGGATAAAAGGGGGGGTTCCAACTATATGTCCCCATTCAAATGCATTGATCGTTAAAGAAAAAGGGGGGTTCCAACCCCCGGAACCCCCCTCTGGATCCGCCACTGAACTTTATTGATAATCTATGATTTTAAATGTACCTCCAAGAGTATGTATAGCACTAACTTTAAATATCAAAGAGTAATGTTATAATAATTTGAATAATGCTATGCACCCAGTCTTAACTTTAATCTCTAATAGGTGAAAATACCATCTATAGTTTATTTTTAAAGTATTTCAACCATATGTTTAACTTCCCCCTAATCCGCCTCAGTGGTCGTGTGGTACCGACCTTATCGCCTCGAATGCGAAAAATCGTGGGTCCCGCCGATTCCAGGCCGAGTCAAACCAATTAATTTGCTGCTTCTCTGTTAAGCAAGCACAGTTTACGGGTAAGAGAAGTCGGAGTCGAAATAATGTGTCTGGAGTGACGTGTTCCTGCAGCCTGTTTCCTTGTGAAGAAATATGTTTAGAATCTGAATTAAAGTTGGTTTAATACCGAAAGTAGGGTACATCCTCATGCCATCTTAAACAAATTGGTCCTGATATGCATGTAATATTTGCTACTGGACGTAAACACCAATCAATCATCACACAACGAAAAAGAACGACATGAATTATTATGTAAGAGTGTGTTAACTATCAATAGTGATAGCAATTAAGTCGTGACCAAACACATACTCTTTTCTGTTTAACAAAATCAATTCTCATTTTCGACATTACTTTTAGCCTAATATAAAAATAAGAAGATGTGGTATATGACTGCCAATGAGACGACTCTCTAACCAGAGATAAAATGGCATAGTATTTAACATATATAGGCCACCATACAGCCTTCAACAATGGCCAAACCCATACCGCACAATAAGCCACAAAAGGTTCCGAAATGACAAATGTAAAACAATTTAAAAGAGAAAACTAACGGCCTGATTTATGTACAAAATAATAAACGGAAAACAAATATGATATACAAAAAAAACTACAACAACTGGATTACAGACTCCTGACTTGGGACAGGCACAAAAAGAATGTGGCAGGGTTAAACATGTTTGCTGGCGCCAAATCCTCCCCTAACCTGTGAAAGTGGTGTAACAGTACGACATAAAAACAACTGACTATACATATCAGTTGAAAAAGGCTTAACTCATAAAATCGATACAAAGCACTTAAAAACAATAACAAAAAAAAAAACACAATTACAGATCTAAGAGTACTCACAATTAATGAAATCAAGTTCAAAACCAAAAACAACGATAAAAAAAATCATGGTTGTAAGACTAAGATATCATTCAGTACCCATCCAACATCCAATGGATTTAGTGTAAAGACGTCATTAACAGTCAGAGAAAAACATTACCTTGTACAAAGCCAATTGATAGTTAACGACAGATTGTAGAGTTGTTAATGTATAAATATGTGTATAACAATAACAATCAATTTAGTTTTAATTTATGGATAACAAAGTCAATATTTATACCGATAAAACAACAATTTCAAAGATCTAATTACAGTAGTTGTCGTTTGTTGATGTGGTTCATACGTGTTTTTCGTTTCTCGATTTTTATATAGATTAGACCGTTGATTTTCCCGTTTGAATGGTTTTACACTATATATATAGTAATTTTTTGGGGCCCTTTATAGCTTTCTGCTCGGTGTGAGCCAAGGAAGGCTCCGTGTTGAAGACCGTACTGTGACCTATAATCATGATAATGGTTTACTTTTATAAAGTTTGACTTGGATGGAGAATTGTCTCATTGGTACTCATACCACATCTTCTTATATCTATTGTGTATGTAATTATATATAACCTGTTAGAATAAGTTTATCTAAAGGGTCGATAAGATTACCCGAATCGAATTTAAATTTACGGGCTTGGTAAACAACATCGCCGTAAAAATTATGATGTGCTATTGTTATGATTTTGATTGATTGATTGATTGATTAGTTGGTGTTTAACACCTTTTTTAACACTATTGTGCTATTTCGTGGCGGTCAGTTTTTATTGGAGGCAGCCGGAGAGAACCACCTTTGGTAGGAAAACTGACAATACTAGTCAATTAAGATTTGAGTCGAGCGCACCTGCCCTGTGCGGGATTCGAACTCACAACTTCAGTGTTGACAGTCTAGTGATACAGTAGTTCGACTACTTAGACCACTTGGCCACCGAGGTCCCATTATGATTTTGTGACAACAAACAAACAATGTTATACTGATATACGTTAGTACTTATGCCAATCATATCCAATCACGCAATTTATATTTCGATGTTCTAATTAAAAATAGAAAAGGTATCTGAATTTTATTTTATTTAAATTCCGCTCAAACCGATGCTAGGGCCGCTAATCTCCCATAAGTTCTCATTGTTATAGTTTTAACTTACGTGCATGTACGTCAATTCATAAATGCTTATAAAATTTTTTCCATTTTTGTTTGTTATATATCGGAAGTTTTGAAAGACATGAAACTAAGTTACTTGAAGAAATAACAATTACACCATATATTTAATTAATTATTTCATCAGACTCCGCTACACTGTATTTCCATACAGATTGGTAGTGTCTCGAAGTAGTCTGTTTTAGATAATATAATATATATTTAGGATTATCACTGACGTAAATAAAAAAGTAAATTGTTTACACGTCAGTGATGATCATAAACAGATATAAACATTTGTATTATGAATACAAGGAGACGTGGGAAATATATTTATTTTGCAAAGAATTCCGCTCAAACCGATGCTAGGGCCGTCTTAAACGTGCAGTGAGGTGAGAGGTTATTTTTGCTCCTTGTTGAAGGCCTCATTCTGACCTTGAGATGAAGAACAGCAATACAAGCGCTGTTCCTTTGCTTTTTGTGTGTTTTTGCTGTGCATGTACTGATTTTGTGTCATGGAAGGATACTCCATATCCTTTTTTTCCATTATAATATTGACATATCTACCAAACAGCAGAAATAGACAATTTGTTATTTTTAGATTGTTATAAATAAGGCCGTTAGTTTTCTCGTTTGATTTGTTTCACATTTTTCACGTCGGGTCTTTTACAGCCAACTATTCGGTATGGTTTTTTCTCATGGCTGAAGTCCTTACGGTGACCTATAAATGCTTATATCCGCTTATTTGAACTGTGGTAGATAGTTATCTAATTGGCAGTCATACCACATCTCCTTTTTTTCATATAACAGAAATAGCATTTAGAGGTTAACAATAGACAAGAGTCTTTAATATGTCAAGGTCAAAACCATCAAACATAATTCAAAGTTAAAGTGACAACGAAAGATCTGCCCCCATTACTTAATGACTTTGAGAAATCTCAATGGCAAAATAAATCGAAGAAACTTTTAGCAAAATTCACGTTGATTTCTTATATTTTCTACAGTGTCTGTATAGGTCTGAATTAAGACACAGCTGTGAAGTATAAACTAGTTTGGTATTCAATGCGATTAGATATATTAATTAAACTCATCATCGATACTTGGCTTAATTAAAATTATGTACGCCAGATGTGAATTTTGTCTACAAATGATTCATCAGTGACGCTCGAAACAAAATAGTTATATAGGTCAATGAGGTACGAAGTTGAAGAGCATTGCAGAACCAAAATTCCTAATGGTTTTGCCAAAATACAGCTAAAGTATTAACTTACAGATAACACTTGAAGTCAACGTATGACTGAAATATTACATCCGGATAAATGATTAAGAACATAAACAACATGTCTTTGGGTAGCGAAAGATTATTTCATATTTTTGCATTTGCAATACTACCGGTATAATAATAAAGTATAAAGTTAACGTCGTTTTTTTAACCACTGAGGATGTATTTCATATAGGAATGATGACATATGGTAGGATATCTGATGAGATTACAATCCACCAGAATCCAAAAAGATGACTATATAGGTATCTGTACGGCCTTCAACAATAAACAAAACCCAAACCATAGTCAGCTATAAAAGGCCGGCCCACATCACAAAATGTGAAACAATTCAAACGAGAAAACCAACGGCCTGATTTATGAAAAAAAATATAACGAAAAACAAATACTAGTATGACAGACAGCAATATAAGACAACCACCTAATTACAGGCTCCTGACCTGAGACAGACAGATTAAGAATGTGATGAAGATTTTCTCAACCCCCACCGTCATATTGGTATGAAGCACAAACACAACTAATATGATATTAAGGATGTTCGCTACTCTTGTTTTTGAAGTTTGTCAGATATTCTGAATCCTCTAGTTTTATCCATGTAGTGCCAATAAAAATTTTGCCCACAGACCCCTACTTTTCTTTTCAGAATTTTATTGCATATTGTTTTAAAAGTCATTTTTGAAAATTTTATAAAATCCTTGTTATTTTTTCATGGTTTTTGAAAGGAAAAAGGTGTCAATGTTAAATGTATGAAAAATCAAGAGAGAACTATTTCCCGCCAAATTTTCTATTGATTATATCTCAAAAACTAGAACACGGACCTATCATTTTTTCTAATTTTTGAGTTCCTTTATTCATATTCTATCAATCTATAACAGTCTTTTAAAAACCTAGTTATTTTGGAACAGAGGAGAGAGCATCCTTAAGACACAAAGTACAGTTGGAGTTATTTAAAGCTAGTTCAAAGCCAATAACAACTAATAGATAAATCATGGTATGCTGCACTAAATTATCAAATTTGTTTAGATGTATTTTTTGGTCGATTATGATCAAATATATAAAATTAAATAAACCATTTTTAGACATTCATCAGACTCCACACTTTTCCTCCGTTTTTCTTATGGAACATAAAACCAAGAAAAAGGAATGTTGAAAATGAAATAATTACAACAAATTCGTGATTTCTTTATTAATTTCTTGTTTTCTGAGATTTCCTCTAAGATAATGGAGATCTTAATCTGACATGTTAACACAACGATGATTATCGTCAATAGATTAAGTTTGAAAGTCGTTAATATTCACAGGATTTTAAACAATAACCTGACCTCTTAATAACAATAGTTTACATATTAACAGATTAGTTATCCTGACTAGTTCAGTGGTTATGGTCCCAACTAAACAAAAAATGGGTAGCTCGGGTCAAGTTTAGAAAATTTAACCTGGATACAGTGAACTGAAAAAAGGGTAAGATGATATTTATGGATGTGTTTATTAACAATTCTTAAATTAACTTATATAAAAAAATACTTATGAATAAGTCCCGGGAGCGTTGCTATAACGACATAAGAATGCGCCAGTGTAAATTCGTGTTAATGAAATATTTTCAAAATATAATTTATTTTATATTAATTTTGTTTCGTTTTATTAATTACTTAAAAAATATAGAAATATTTAATTGTTCCTTTATATTATAATATTATAACGATTCATCTGGCGATCGAGACCATTTTCTGGGGTAGGTTTTTTTATATTGCGCCTGTTTGTGTGTTATTGTTTTAAGTTTAACTGGTGTGGTTACTCTGTTGAGCCAAACAATGTTTTAATGTTTTACACACTAAAATTGGAATCGTAGGTCACGTAACATAAACTCATTATCGATACCAGGATTAAAATTGTGTACGCAAGACGCGCGTTTCTTCTACAAAAGACTCATCAGTGACGCTCGACTCAAAAAGTTAAAAAGCCAAACATATTCGATCTCAATTTATAAATCTTTCGTTTGACTATTCCTTCCGTTTCAGACTATTTCTCTGACCCTGTAAAGTATCTCTCAAGTATTACACAAACACTTATTTTTCTGTTGATTATGTTTCCTGTACTTTAATGACTAGGGAGCTACTATTTGATTTATATGGAGGGGGGGGGCCTAGGATGAAAAATTGTGCCCTGCAATTTTTTTTTAATGTAATCTCGGCCCTGCCTTTTTATTTTTCACTTTATTCGGTCCTGACTTTTTTTATTAGTTCATCCTGACTTTTTATACATTTTGTTTTCAAATTTCATCCTAGCCCCCCCCCCTAAAAATCAAATGATAACTCCCTTATAATAAGTCTTCATAGTCAAAATGTGCTGTGCAGCACAAACACATGCACGTCTTACTCGTGCTTTCGCCTCAGTTTGTCAAATAGAATCTATATTCGTTTTAGTCCTAAATTTGTTTTTAGCAAACAGTATAACCCTGATGGCTGAAATAGAAATATTAGAAAAGGAAGGTGAAGACCATTTGATTCTTTTGGATTTTGAAAATTAATATTCAGGCCTGGTAAGAACTGAAATTAAATAACCTTCTTGTTCAAACGCTTTTCCATCCATACACCTGTATCATGCGGCTATACGCTTTAAGGATGTACTTAGGTGAAATTTAAAAAAAATCTAGAATTAAAAATTGATACTATAATTCAGAAGAGCATAAGTTAAGGAACAAAATAAGCTAAAAAGATTGATAGGTTATGGAACTCCTTTTTGAGAAACTCCTTTTTGAGATATTTGATTTTTTAAAAATGACGGGAAAAGTCTGATTCGGACGTTTACCTTATATTTAGCATTGACATTTTTTTGGTCTCAAATCGTAAAAAAAAAAAACCGGGAATCTGCTTAAATTTTGATAATGACCCTTTTATGAGCTTTTGAAGTCTTCTATGAAAAGAAAAGTGGGTGATATGGGGCTAAATATTTTACCCTGTATCGTAGGAAAAAAAAACCAAGGAGTCCGAACATCTGACAAAAATTCCTAAACCTGACCTGACTACATCCTTAATAAACCAATTGCATTATACATTTTTCATTTGTTTGTTTAATTGTAATTGCACAGTTACTTGGGCCAGGACATTTTTTTTTTGGTCATTCCCTTTTTTTATTTTATTGTTTTCTTTCAAATTTTCTTTCAATTATTTTGTGCATCGGAAATATTACCATATAACCGGACCACAGTGAGCCAATAACTAGCAATTGACAGTAAATGGTAAACACATGTTATTTCTAGCATATTTATGTAAGTCTTACACAGAAAAATCATTAAAGAATTGAAATAAAAACAAAATCTAAAAATAACGAATTTTTGAAAAGGGGAGGACAAAAAAATTCTCCTATCCCTAAGTACTTCTGTGTTATTATACTTATACCTGCATATTTATTTTTATCAGACATGAACATGGAAAAGCAAGTTTCCGGGTTATACTCGATAGGCGATTCTCATGATAAAAGAAAGACTTTAGAAATAACGAAAGTTATGAAGGGAGCACTGAGCGTATCGAAAAGTAGAACTGGCGAGACCATTTTCAGGAGTAACGAATTTCATAGAAAGACAATGGAGAAAAAAGTTCACCAATACAAATCAGCCGCAATAACTGAAATAAGTTCATTTGAAGCAAAGAAAAGAACTATCACACAACGGTTTTCTACAGTTTTTGGAAAACACAAGGCCACTAACGAAACGATGCACGCGTATGATGAAGTCATTACTAAAGCTCTTGAAGAAACAAACGAAAAACCACCAGTTTCAATTGTCAAAATCAATTATACCAATAAACATGAAACTGAGAAGAATGAAGACGACGAAAGGAAAGAAGATGAAGTCGATGGAAATAAAGATGGCGTAAAATTACCCCACGTCAGCAATTCTCAGGGACGAGTTAAACATGTTGAAAACGAATTGGATGAATCTGAGCGTAAAAAGTCTGTATTCATACCAACAGGAGTTTTGATGCCAATTTCATCGACTGTCAAATATTCACGTTTAAAGTTTCACGATGAAAAGGTTGAAGAAGAACCGGAAGTGGTTGTAGAAGAGGTCAAAGAGCTATGGCCTCTTGAAAATACAACAAAGTACGATACATATATTAGAACACAAAAAGATAGACATGAGGTTCTCGTAACTAGGAACATTTTGAAGAAAATAAAATCGAATATTTCCGGCAAAAACACTTTATTGAAATTTAAAATGAAAGCCATCCTAACAGACGACCCGGAAGACTTTGTTAGAAATCTAACAACTTCCGCTAAAACAGCGCCAGCGGGAAACGCAATGAACAAGAAAAACAACTCTAGTCGTAAGTTCAAAAAATTCATAGCAAATCTTCCAGTGCAGAATACAAGATCACAAGAACCTAGTTTTGCCTCATTGCAAACAAGCAGAATGTTCCCTCCAATAACTGCAGGTTCCGTAAAATCGACGGGTAAATTTTTGTCTCTAAGGCGTTCCAAAACGATGCCAATTTGAGGAATACCATCCTGATGGAATTTATTCATCGGACAATGGGAACATTATAAACTACCAAGACTGTGCCCCTTCTTTTTTCCTTCATACATAAATATTTATGACCGAGTCGTATGGATGGATTTGTGAAAAAGCAAATAATATATTTCGATTGAAAGCTAGAAAGGATATTTCATAGATCATATTGATAATAATTTCGAAAGTTCCAACAAAATATATGAGCGCATAATGTTACGATATCGGTCTGAGATATAGGGAAAAGTCATCTATCCCGTGTTGTTAAACATACAAGTATGGTTTCTAATCACGTATCCAATCTACAATCCATATTAATTTTGAAAAATAGAATAGACAATTAAAGGTGAATGAGTGCAAAAGGACAGATTTACAAATGGTGGATTTGACTGTGTTAAGTTTACAGAGGACAGTCTGTTAGTCTGTGGATTACTGTCTTAGTTCTATAGTCAAACACCGAAGTGTCATAATGTATATTTATGAATCTAAGTCTACTCCTTGAGCACTTGATATCAAATTTCGTTAATCACAATTAGTATTCCTTTCGAGATTAAGCCTCTAAATCTGATATAGATCTGTATATATGTATGACAAGCAATACCTTTTGAATTTAACAGTTATTGGAATAATCTCATCGATTTCTAGACTGACCCTACCTAGCTGTATGTGCGTCAGACATGAAAAGTACTTAAAAAATAAGAAGATCAAGATTAAAATCTACGCAATTAAACATTTGTGTTTCAGTACTTGTTGTGTTGATATATATATATATATATATATATATATATACATTTATTATTGCTTTGCATTAAAAGCAACTTCTTATTTCGTTTGAACAAACACACAAATTAAGAAAACTAAAATTAGAAGTACATATTTATTCAATAGGTTAAACTGTTGAAGTGTCTAAATGTAAAACAACATGTACTATTTTGATAGAGGATATTTCAAGAAACAGCAAAAATAATATTTAAGTTTTTTGCTTCCTTATATATGAGCCACTCCATGCGAAAAGGTACAAAAGGTGTTTTTGATTAATTCACAGGATTTTGTTAAAGTTCGTTAAAATATTTTTGAAAAACGATTTTATCTGTAAAAATTGGTTTTACTCTAAATATTCATAACACGGTCAATTCTGTCCCGAATTTGTCACTTAAAACAGATTCTGATTTGTTTTAATTATACTGAGCCGAAATAAAACCATTTACAAAACTATAAACATATAAGTTTTAATACAATTTGTTAAATATTATATAAATCAACAGTCCTTAATCGGAGAGACAGTACTCTGACCGTTGCCCCCATTACATTACATTGATTACTGCTTTATTGCCACTGCTATCTAAGAGAACAAAATTAAGTGGAAAGCTAAGATACTTAAAACTTTTATACATGGACAGATGAATATAAATTCTAAATATTGAGAAAAATTGAAAAAAGGGGGTGTAAGCACTGACATGTGTGTATAACTTAATACATCTTTTAAAATCATATGATGAAAATAACGGTGTTTTACTTGTATTGATCACAAGTCTGCTATAAACAATTTTGGACACGTTTTAGTGTTTCTAGATAAGTGTTTCTTAGAATTTCGTTATTTTTTTTGTGTTTGTATCTTTTTGCATGGAAGCGCTTCATATATTATACGGATAGGATTTCATGCATGTATATTTTGTCTAGAAGAATGTGTCCCTCAATTCAGCCAGCATTAGCATCTTCAAATAAAATGTTGTTTCTTTGTTTTCAAAATTAGTCAGAATGAGTTTACCATTATTTTACTAATCTCGAATCCAGAAGTTTATCAGTAAGAGAAAGTGTAACCAACATCTTTTATACATAAACCATGTACGCAGTGACAACAAAAAGAATGCTATGTCGTAGTATCTGAACACAGGAAAGCTCACGTCCCCCTCCTATATCACGAAATCACTTAGTACGCTCTGTTAAAGCCAACAGAAACATCCCTTTGAATCAACCACTTGGATATCTTCAATTGGTATATTTCGGTAGGGAACCTGTCTTTAAATCAGTGTATTAAGAAATAGAAAAAATATCCCGAGTATCAACCAGTATAAAAATAAGGAGAAGTGGTATGATTGTCATGAGATGAGAAAGATATCGACCAGAGTCCAAATGACAAGGATGAAAGCAACTATAGGTCACCGTACTTTAATATTGAGGCCGAGGGTCAAGCTCACATAAAGGTCACGATAATACGCGACACACCTCTAAAGGTAATACACGTTTACGTCAAATATCATATAAACCATCGTAAACATTGTTTTTTAAGTTATGGGCCTGACAAGGTGGTAAAAGAAGAACCAGAAGAAAAAATACTACTAAAACATATCAATATGACTAAACTTTCATTTGAAAGCGCAGAGATAACATTTGTCATAAACAATATAACCCAAAACCACGTGATCGTACTGAATATGCATGGTATATTAGCAACTGGACCTTAAAGCAAACAAAAATCAACTAAATCATTTCTAGCTTAGTGACACTTGTGTCAAATTCATTTCAGAAGTGGTGTATATCATGACATTCAACGATGTTCGGCGAGTTTGCTTTTGTCGAGTCCTGTATTCGAAAAGACACTAGAGAACTCCATGTCTTGAACACAACGTGCAAAATGAAGATTTGTGGCGAATTTTTCTTCAAATGTTTTAGTAATCGATTAAGTAAGCTTTGGAAATGTTCATCTAGTAGTAACATGTATATTTCTACCATATTGATAGGTTTTGAATAGCCAAAACGGGCAATGACCAGTACAAGAATTTGAGACGAATGGTACCAAAAACTCTATTAAGGCAACGAACCGTACATTGATGAAATTTGGAGGTCAGTCTTCAAATATCTATGTGTATGAAATACTATTAAACAGCTAGAAACATTAAGGACTCCTGGTGTTTATGTTATATAAAAAAATATACAATGATTGTCAGGAAGCAGTGAACTTTTTGTTGTGAACATTTCATTTTTACGTTAATGGCAGTAAGTCTTTGAAGATAAATATTTAGAACTTGTATCTACCGAACTCGCTTCGCTACGCAGCAACGTCCGGAATCAATTGTAAGGCGGTTATAATACCCCGTGATATAAACGAAGATGTCAATTTCAAAGAAGATAGCCCGGAAAATATTTATCAGGGTAACCAAATCGCTTATGCATAGCTTTCTTGTGTATTCATGTATACAATTTCTTTATTAATTGTGAATATTTGCCAAAAACATTTTTTTATTCTTTAGTTAATATTGAAATGTCAACCATGATACATTTGTAGCATGATAAAAATACAAACAAAAGGCGCTGTAAGTTGCACACAATTTAAAACATTTAGTAAGTTTCATTTTTCAATAGATAAATAGACTTATAAATAACTATAAAAGAAGACTTGTGTTATACATCAAAGACAACAATCAAACCTACTATACAAATAACCAAAAGACATTTAGAGGTCAACTTATAGTCTTCAACATCACATTTAGAGGTCAACTTATAGTCTTCAACATCACATTTAGAAGTCAACTTATAGTCTTCAACATCACATTTAGAGGTCAATATACAGTCTTTAACCGCGAAAGACAGGACTAGTGTCCGGCACAAAAATCACTCCGAGACTAAAAAGATGTGAATATCTTAAACAGAAATTATCAAAAACTTCAACCTCAAAATCTTCTAATATGAAATAAAACTGTTAAGGAATTATATAAGAAATCCACCGATGATGTACTTGACTTGGGACATGCATATGTTACGGGGTTAAACTAGAAAAAAAATTATCGTAGAAAAGGTACGTTGTTGCCTTAAAATGAATGTGTTCTGTTTGAAAGTACATGTATATTGTGAACAATTTCTTCTTATTTCAAGATGCCAAGCTTTTCGCACATTTCCATACAAAGCAACCTACAAAGCAATTTCAAACAGAACTTTTTTATAGTCAATCCTGATACAACTACCTGTTTAAAGATAGGGTCTAGAGGGGAAAGGGCTTGGATTCTGTATTATTGAACTTTTAAGCTAATCTTCTCCATTTATGTTAACTATTGTTCTCTGTTCTTCATATTTCATTACCCTATTATTCTCTAGTTTTGATATTTTTACCCATTTCCTCTTTTTCCCCCCACTTTTCTCTATCCCGTAAGCCCCATCCATACCCTCTTTAAAAATTTTTGGTCGTCGGAGAGCAAATTGAAATATAAGTCGGTACCTTTTTAATCAGTCTTCAAATTGTTCAAAAACACTGCAAATTCGAAAATAAAGATGTCAATAATATAAACTAATATTACATTGCATTCATATTTTATGTAAGTTCCATATTTTCCTCTCTATCGACATCCCACGAAGAGGAATAAATGCACTAATTTTATTAGTATTTCTCAGTTTATTCATGTTTTTAGCACTACATTGTATTTTTACATTGATACGTCCAAGTGAGGCTCCTGAGCTGAAATCTGCCTGATCATTTAATGAGATATTGGCATGTTTGTGACAGTTTTCGTAGTTACCCCGTAGACCTCCTTCTCTAGGCGAAGGGACATTTTCTCTCACAGGGGTATTTCTGGCAGACATTTGAGATTCGGTTCTAATTCTGAGGTTATTTAAATGCTGTTCTATCCTCATCTGAGCAAAATTGTTTTCTACATTTAGTGTTCCTAAGTTAGGAGTCTTCTTTGCCAGTGTTAAAGGTATTTTCACCGGTCTTTCGTCTTTGCCTCTCGGCGTTGCAACGTCTTTGCCTCTTGGCGTTGCAACCTCTCTGCCTGTCGGCGTTGCAACGTCTTTGTATCTCGGCGTTGCAACGCGTTTTACCTCGGTTTCAACTAGCTGTTTATTCATAGAATTATGATCCTCAATTATCTTGTGATCTTTTGAACTCTCTGCGTTTTTTGAAAGTCGATTTAAGTCATTTGTTATGACATTACGTAGATGTTTTTCCGGGCCAAGCACGACTTTTGAAGACACGCCCTGTCTCATCGGGATCAATGGAACTCTAGTCTGTGACTTATCTTCATCTGGAATTGGCAAACATTTTGAGCGAGGTGTACTCGATTTATGTTCTAATCCAATGTCCATGGTTTTTATCTCGATAGGTTGTTCTTTATACACAGTGTATGCGTCAACATCATGCGAATTTCTAGCCGCCTCTGCACTTTGAGGTACCTTTAAATTTATAGAATTTGCTTCAAAAACAGCGTCAATCTCTGTTGATTTATTTGTGCATGTATTTTTAGTATTCAAATTATCGTCTGTATTTGAATCTTTCGCTTTACAATGTTCGCATGGTTCATATAATTTTCCACTTTTCTCAAATTTTTTCTTGCAAACTGTATACTCCAGAACATTCCCTACTGATATTCTAGGTATTGGAACCATTTTGTAGTGGTTGTCGTCTTTGTCGCTTTTACACCTATCACCTTCAACTTGTAGCAAGTTGGTAACATTACTTGTTTCCATTTTCTTCAAATCAACAGAGTTTTCTACGTTTCCCTTCCTTTTTGGTGAAATGCGTAGATTTGCCTTTACAGGAATATTTTGAAATATTACGTCGAAATTGTCGAAGTTTAATATTCCCGTTGTATTTCGCGTAACATCACTTTTGCGCGGAACGGCTAAACTTTGTCGTTGTTTATCCTGTAGCTTGGGTGTGTTCGGATAGGAGGATTGGTTGGTCTCTTCATTACGATTAACATTTGTATTAACAGAACATGACACTGACCTTTTACT